AGTAGGAGTAGTAGTAGTAGTAGAAGTAGTAGTAGTAGTAGTAGTAGTAGTAGTAGTAGTAGTAGTAGTAGTAGTAGTAGTAGTAGTAGTAATAGTAGTAATCGTAGTAGAAGGAGGAGGAGCAGGAGGAGGAGGAGGAGAAGGAGGAGGAGGAGGACAACTCAGGAGGCCGTGGCGGCAAGCAGCTCGCGGCGCCGCGCCGCCCCCTGCCGCGCCGCTGGGCTCGGCGCCCCGCTCTCCGCGAGGATCCGCTCGATGCGGCCCTGCTGGGACGAAGCCAGGACATGGACAAACTCGGACGGGGATATTGTCAGGCAATGCTCAGCGCGTCGCGGCGGCGGCCCCGGCGACACGCTATGCCCTGCAAGCGGATGGCGTGTCGCCCCTCTCCGCGGCGCGGGGGGCTGGGAAAAGCTCGGGACGCTAACGCCTGGGACGTGGATAGCCTGTCGCGCCGAGGCGTGGTGGGCCAGACCTGGCGGAGCGACTCGCTAAGTCAAAGATCCTGACCGTAATTCGGGGATCTCTGAGATCCGTCGGTTCTGCAGGATGTATCGGGCGCCGCGGCCTACTCAGAGCGTTGCGGCACGCTCTGAGCGTGCCGGAGCGCTTCTGAGCGAATGCCGGAGCGCCCTGGAACTTTTCATCCCTGTCCTGGTCCCGCCCGACCTGCCGCTCCACGTAGGTCTCCAGGAACCCCGACAGGCCACGTGAGTCTGGGCGCTCCTGGAGAAAGGCGGGCCCAGGGTGCTGAAAGAATAACACACGCTCAAACCTTTAGGGAGGAGGAATGGGGGAGGGCAGGGCAATTATGGGTGCGAAAAGCCGGACTCCAGAGGGGGGCTCTATTCGAGCGGGGACCCTAATCCGACAACGCGTGCCCGTAGCCCCCCCCGAGAAGAGGTTCACTCCGAGGATTATGGGGGCCACAGAAGTCAATTGGTGCTAGTCGTCACCCAGAGATCCGATGCTCCGAACAGAATCGGAGCGGCCGGCTTCTGCCAATTTTCGGCCTCAGAGGGCCCTCGACCTGCCCCAGGGCCGTCAAAAAACAACCCAGGATAAAAAGCGGTTCCTTGGGACATGGTCCAAACCTCGGGGGGTCCATGCTGAAGGGGCCCCAGGACACACAAAGAAATACACACAAGTAAAACGATTCCCCATATTTCCCCATATTTTCTGGGTTTTTGTCTTCCCCCCCACTTCTCATATTTTCCCATATTTTCCTGGGAATCGACGATTCATTGTGTCTGTGTGTTTTTTCCCCTCCTGATCCATGCCTCGAACAAATGGAGGCGCCGGCAGCAGGCCTTCCCAGAGGGCGGGGAAGGCGCCTCAGAAGCCCCCGCGCCTTCCGAGCGCAGCCCTGTAAGGAAGGGGACCCGGGACACACAAAAATAAATACACACAAATAAAAGGATTCCCCATACTTTCCCATATTTTCTGGGCTTTTGCCTTCCCCCCCCCCCCACTTCCCATATCTTCCCAGATCTTCGGGGGAATCGACGATTCACTGTGTCTGTGTGTTTCTTTCCCTCCTGATGTGAGCCTCCCCGAGACCGAGGACGGCCTCTCCGAGTGCCCTCGCTTCCCCCCCCTCGGCGCGCCGCCGAGCTTGGTCTTCGGGAGCCATAGCTCGAATCTCCGGCGGCCGCTCGGGGCGATCCGGGCACGGGCGCCCCCGGGACGCCCATCGGCGAGGCGCAGCTCAGGGAGAGCACCCCGCGGCTGGAGAGCCGCTGGGAACCGACGAGCACGCCCGAGAAGCGCGGCTCGAGCAGAAGTTACGCCATCGCGAAACATCGCGGCCGCAGCCCCGGAGGCCCCATCTTTGAGCCCCATTTTTCGAGCTGGACCGATCTGCGAGGCTCCCTGGGCCCGAACATGAAAGGGGAAAACGTCAGGCTCGAACACATTGCATCGCCAGGATCTGAGAATTTGCATGGCGTCGGAATCATTGGCGTTGCACTGCCATGCTCCACGAAGAGGAGGAGGAGACAGAGGAGGAGGAGGACAGAGGAGGAGGAGGAGGAGGAGGAGGAGGAGGAGGGGGAGGAGGAGGGCGAGGAGGAGGAGGAGGAGGAGGAGGAGGAGCCTCGAACTCGAAACTCGGAACACAGAGCCTCGAGCGCGGGCTCGCCGCTTGTCCTGCAGAGCGGCCGCCGCGCCGCCCCCAGGCCTCGCCCCTGCTGTCGCCCCGCACCCGCCCGGGGGACGCGCCGCGGCGCCCAGCGGGTTCGCGGCGTAGCCGTCCAGCAGGTCCCGCACCTTGTTCCTCCTCCTCCTCCCCCTCCTCCTCCTCCCTCCTCCCTCCTCCTCTCCTCCCTCCTCCTCCTCCCTCCTCCTCCCTCCTCTCCCTCCTCCTCCTCCTCCTCCTCCTCCTCCTCCTCCTCCGCCCTCCTCTGCCTTGGCCTCCGCGCTGCCGCCTCCCCCGCCGGCCCCCGCTCTGCAGGGCGCCCACCCCCAAGTGTATATCAGGAACAACCGATCGCCGGTCCGAGCCTGGAAACAAAATGAGAGCAAGGAAGGACAACGAATAGCACGAACAACGGCAACACAAAGTAAGGAGAGTGCAGATGGTCTTCGAAAGGTATGCATGCGATCCCTCCAGCGTGTATTCATGACCCAGGAGCCCATGCGTACCCGCCACCGTGCACCAGGCCAGCTCAAGGCACGCCGCCGCCTCAGACGTGCTCGCGCAGTGGCAGGCACACGACGCAAGGCGATGGCCGATCTCGATGCGGAGTCCGATCTTCTTTCCACGCCGACGGTGCCGATGCGTCGCCGACGTCGGCGAGGCATCGCCGATGCATCGCCGATGGATCGCTAATGCATCGGCGATGCATCGGGGATGTGGCGCGGTCCTCCGACCCCATCCGCTCGGACCCAGACGTGCTCGCGCAGGAGACAGAACGCGACGGCAGGAGCTTGGCCGACCTCGGCCTCGCGGGCCTCGCCGGGCCTGGGCACAGAACAAGAACGACCCTGGATGCAAAACCAGCCCCAGGGAAGGGGTCGAGACTTTAGGGGAGCTCTTTCTCGAGTAGGGGATCGACTACATCATTCATTTACCCCAGATTTTATTCGGGGAATCTACAACACGCATAACCCCCCCCCTGGGACCCCAAACCGGAGATTTGACCCCCCCCCCCCGGGCCGCAGACGAGCGCACCACGGGGCTCTTTTGGGCCCAAAAGGGGATCAAGACGGGCCAAGAAGGCCCCAAGACTCCTCCAAGACGGCTCACGAGAGCTCCGAGGCGCCAAACGAGCGCTCCCAGACGCCCAAGATGCCCCCAAGACGAGCCTAGAGGCCTCCAAGACGGCCCAAGACGCCTCCAAGAGCAGTCCTCAGAAGGGCCGAAGCGCCGAAAATCGTCAATTCCTATGGGAAAACGTACATTTTGATCACATACTACTTCTCGGCCTTCACGGCGTTGAAGACGGTCCCAGAGCACCCCAAGACCGCCCCGAGAGGCCCCCAAGAGGCGCCCAAGTCGGCCCAGGAGGGCGCCAAGACGGCCCAAGAGGCCCCCAAGACAGCCCAAGAGGGCCCCAAGACGGCCCCAAGAGGTGCCCAAGAGGGGGAGCCCGAACCGACAATCCGAGCCTTCCGCCCCAAGGCGGCCCCAGAAGGCCCCAAGAGGCCCCAAGAGGCCCCCAAGACGCCCACAAGAGGCCCCAAGAGGCCCCCAAGAGGCTCCAAAACGGCCCCCAAGAGGCTTCGAAACTGCCTCCAAGAGTCCCGCGAAAAGCCCCCCAAGAGATCCCAACGATCACCGCACAAGTCTCATATCAACAACCCAGGCACGGTGGCGGGGTTGCGTTTGCGCACAAAAAAATGATTCGCGCTCTCGAGGCCAAGATTGCTCCAAAACGGCCCAGGATGGCTCCAAAACGGCCCAAGATGGCTCCAACACGGCCCAAGAACGTTCGAAGACGGCCCAAAATGGCCTCAAGATGGCCGACAAGGCTTTCACTATCGCCCACGAAGTCTCCAAGAAGACCCCCAGGACATCTGAAAGAGGCGCACATTACGCATTTCATTACATTTCCATTGCGTTGTTGAACATGTTTGCAATTGTTGCCTTTCCCGGCTTCCGTCGGCTCACGTAGCCCAAAGAGCCTCCAAGATCGCCCCACGGCGCCCCAAGAGGGCCTCAAGACGGCCCCAGAGAATCCCAACACGGCCCAGGACGCCTCCCAATTCGGCCTAAGACGACCCCAAGACGGCAAAACCTGTCTCCAAATTGGTCCCAAGCTGGTGCAAGACGGCCCTAACCCAAAACCCATAACCCAGAGCCTTGTTTCTGTGTCCCCTTCCTCCTTCTCCTCCTCCTCCTCCTCCACCTCGGCCGCCAGGTGGGTTCAAAACTGCTTTCCAAAGGTCCCCGAGAGGCGTGCCGCGAGATCCCTATACACATACAACAAGTTTCTAACCAATAGCACATATCCCAGAGTTTCGTCTCTGTGTCCCCGTCCTCCCCCTCTTCTCCTCCTCCTCCACCTCCTCCTCGCCCACTCCTCCTCTTCCTCCCCCGCCTCCTCCTCTTCCTCCCCGATTCTTCTCCCCCCATCCTCCGCCTCACCCCCCATCCCTCTCTCCCCCTCCCCCCTGTCCTCCCCCGCACGCGCGCCCCCGATTGGGCATCATTTGCAGGTCTTGCATATCAGGGTGCCCTTTTTTGCATCGCGTGCGACGTTGGCAGGGTTCCCGGAGAACGCCGACGTCGGTAGTCTTCTCTTGCACGCGCCGCCGCACTGATACGCCTGGCAACTGCGGGCTGTGAACCCGAGGTTCCGGCAAGACCGCCAAGATGAGGGGTCGGCGGATGTGGCGTAAGCCTATAGAATCTACAACACGCTGTGCGCATTTCTCGTAGATTCGACGAAACACTGAATTTTGGGGTAACTTAATTCTCTAGTCGATCCGTACTCGACGTTCTGAAACAACCAAGTAGGCCAACGTGTCTCTGGGGTGCGTGCTCGCACGTGCCGGCAGCGTGCGCCGAGCTGGCCGACGGTCCCGCGATCAGCGCCCTCCACAGACGCCTCCCAACTGTTGTCCGCGCAGATGGGGTCGGAGGATCGCGCCGCATCGCCGACGCATCGGCGACATCGGCGACGCATCGGCGCCGTCGGCGTGGGAAACTTCTGGCTCCACATCGAGCCGCGCCGGCGATGCATCGGCGATGCGGCGCGATCCTCCGACTCCGTTTGCTCGGACCCCACCTGGGAGGCTCAGAGCTGAGCTGGCCGACGGACAGACGGTCGGCGCCCTCCATTCTAGTAGGGGGGAGACCAGTCCTGAGGGAAACGGGTCCTGGGCCCCAGGGCCTACCCCAAGACCACAACATCATCCTAAATCATCTTTTGACGGTCCCAGGGCCCGTGGAAGCCACCGAGCTCGAAAACGGCGAAAACCTAGGACCCGTTTCCCTTAGGACCCGTTTCCCCACGGCCGCACGGTCCCTGAGATCCGACGTAGCGAAGATGTTGCAACACCCTAGAAACTCACGACTGGAGCCTTAGAACCCAGCTATCCGCGCCATTTTTCGAGCCGGATCGATCTGCGAGGGTCCCTGGGCCCGAACACAGACAAAACACAAAGAAACGCCCGGCTCGAACAGGAGTGGCCACGCCCGGGTCCCAGGGGTTGGCGCCCTCCAGGCACCGACGCCAGCCCCGAGCGCCCCTCCCAGAGCTCGGGCAAGCCCGCCGCCAGCC